TTTGGTCAATTTCATGGTCATAGGATTTTAAAAATCGTAAATTTCATGATTTCAGCTATTTAAATGTGAAGTTTCAGAGTGCTGTAATTTTAGGGATCCTGTCCCAAAAAGAAGTTGTGTGTGTCGCAAGGTATTGTAAGGGGGGTTGCAGTACTTCTACCCTTACTGCTGCTGGCAGTGGCACTGCCTTCAGAACTGGGAAGCTGGAGAGTGGTGGCTGCTGGCTGGGAGCCCAACGTTGAAGGCAGAGCCACTGCCAGCAGCAGCACAGAAGGACAGCATGGTATGGTACTGCCACCCTAACTTCTGTGCTGCTACTGGCAGGGCACTGCCTTCAGAGCTTGGCACCTGACCAACAGTCACCACTCTCTGGCCGCCTAGCTCTGAAGGCAACGCAGAAGTAAGGCTGGCAATACTGCGACTCCCCTGCAACTCCCTTTTGGGTCAGGACCCCCAATTTGAGAAACACTGGTCTCCTCATGAAATCTGTATAGTATAGGGTAAAAGCACAAAAAAGACCAGATTTCACGGGGGGAGACCAGATATCACGGTCCGTGATGCGTTTTTCATAGCTGTGAATTTGGTAGGGCCCTAATGAGAGTGGCCCCTCTCAAAAATTTAGGAAGTGAGATTTTGAAAGACAAGATTATCTACCAGCCAAGCCAGCTATAAAGTAACATTCCGTTCATAACATGACTTAAGTCCTATGACAGCCATACACCTTCTCAAATGGCAAATTTGGAAAAAGTCATTATTACACTAATTAGGACTTTTTGGCTCTGCTTTGTCTTCGTCATGTTCTCAAGATAGCTATTTTATACAAATTTAACCTTTTGAAGGACAACCTTGATTTGAAAAAACAACAAGGAGTCTGGTGGCACCTTAAAGACTAACAGATTTATTTGGGCATAAGCTTTCATGGGTAAAAAAACCACTTCTTCAGACATATGGAGTGAAAATTACAGATGCAGGCATTATATAATAACACATGAAGAGAAGGGAGTTACCTCACAAGTGGAGAACCAGTGTTGACAGGGCCAATTCGATCAGGGTGGATGTAGTCCACTCCCAACAGTTTTCACTCCATGCACCTGAAGAAGTGGTTTTTTACCCACGAAAGCTTATGCCCAAATAAATCTGTTAGTCTTTAAGGTGCCACCAGACTCCTTGTTGTTTTTGTGGATACAGACTAACACGGCTATACCCTGATAGTTGAAACTTTGATTTGTTCCATCTTCTCATAACAATGGCCACATCAACAAACTAAAATAACAGAAACAGCAGTGTTTTCCAATGTTGTTCATAACGTTGGCAAGAAGGCAAAAATATTAATCTTCAGTTCAATTCAGGAATACAGTTTTCCACTGGGGAAACTGGAAATTTGGTATCTTACAGAGGAAAGAAAAACTGACTTTGAGAAGCTACCCTCTTCCCCATGCTCCAGGCAAGGAAAGGTTGGTAAGATTGGAAACAAAAGCCAGGCCATGAGAACCTCTACTCAGTCTCTGGTACCTAGGAAGAACCTGACAACAAATGCTACCTCACACAGACCTTGTTTCATTCTTATGGATGATAAATATTGCTTTTATAGCAATGTATGTTTAACCTTTTGAGGAGACTTGCTCTACTATTAATATAAAAGTCTCCCTTTTGAAAATAATCTGATAAAAATCAAACAGTAGTTTTCCTCCTGACTTTAAAATCACCACTACTGATGATCAAAAGTAGTGATCATGCAAACAGAGAGAGCTTCCCAGAACAGAAAAGCAATTGCACACATGACTAATACCATACAATTACTCAAGCTGAATTCTAATAAAACAGATTTACTGTGATTTCATCCAGCAGTATTGATTTAAACACCAAGACAAATATTTTTATCCTACTACACAGCTTTCTATGCATCAGTCACACTTTCAGCTTTCTCCAGTTAATTATATTTGGCAAAATCAATATTTCAATAATGTTAACACAATAAGAGTACAGTAAAAATATACCTGATTATAGAAAATTTGCTAACTAAGTTTTGTAAGCTTCTTCAGTGTTCCATTGTATTGTATTTATTCTAGAGCAGTACAATATTCAGCATTCCAATAACAACGAATAAGCCTAATGCATTATGTAAGAATAAGCCTATTAAATCCTTGAGCCTGAAACCACGTCTTTCCCTCCTCCCCCTCCAGTTTGAAACTTGTCACAAACAGAATATTAGTTTTCTATGCTTCTCGGAACTTGCATTATTCCTATCATTAGCATGTGTATTTTTATATATACCACAAGAACTTAAATCTGTTTAACCCCTTAATGTCAATGGGATTTAGTGCTTATAGATGGGAAATTTTGAATTCAAACACAAATTGCCATGTTTCAGATGAGTTTAAACAGCTCATTATAAATTCTTCCTTTGTGGCTAAAAGCAGGAGTTTGATTATTTATTTATTAATTATTATTATTTTTAAATACTGACCTGAAAATCTTTTTACAAAAACTTAAATCAACCATTTATCATGTTATGAACCTGAGTTATAAATGTAAAATTAACATCTGCATGCTAAATTGGACACAAAGCCATACTTTCATCAACTTTAACACTGTCAACAGGTGGTGATTAAAGGGAAAATTATATGTGTGACTCTCTGCTTTCAGAGGCATAGGAGGTCCCAGATGACGTGGAACTAGTGTGGTGTTCCTGCATACGGAGGGCAGGATTTGGGGAGCTATATAGAAGCTATGCATCCCTTGCACACCATGGGGCTGTTTCCTCTGTGTGCTATCACCAAAGAGGTTGAAACAGGGAGATGGAGCAGCATAGCAGAGGCTCTGTCAGCCAGAGCCTCCAAAAGAACGAGAGGGGAAAATTGTAGCCCCATGATCAATAGCTGTTTGGTGGCTGGAGGAAAATTTTCTTCCACTGTGTCCCTGTGGAGAACATCAATGCACAAAACAGCTGCTAAAAATCATAAGACCTACTGTGTGCCTGAATAATAACAAAAAAATGAATGGAGGCTTTTCGGCCATCTTTAAAAGTGCACATACATCTTAGGTGCCTATAGCTGGATTCTATTCATTTTTGTGTCTTCAGTACAATGTTGAAGAAGGTGCAATTGCAGGACCAGCTATATCTATACTACCACAATGAATGTAATGGGATGGCATAGGTATAAATGAGGGCAGAACATGCCCTGAAGAATTTTCTTTGTAGAAGATGCATAAGAAGGCAAGAAGCTAGCAAGGTCACACCCTTACGAATTAATAGTAAGAATTTTTACTATAAGATGATGGCTGATCAGTCAGAAATGACAAGGGGTAGAAAGGCCGCAGTCTATTAGTCAATTCCAGGATGACAGTGAGGCATCAAGGTAAGGTGAGGTATTTCCAGTAAAGACAGGGAAGTATTAATGCCATCATATAAGGCATTATTAAGATCTGTTATATTGTGTACAATTACAGTCATTCATGTCCAAGGAAGATTCATTCTAACTGGAACAGGTGCAGAGATGGGCTAGTAGAAGAATTAGGGAATGGAGGGCCTGTCTTATCAGACGAGACTAAAAGAGCTTGGCTTGTTTAGTCTAGCAAAACAAAGGCTGAGAGGATATCTTCTCTCTCTCTACACACACACACACACACACACACACACACACACACACACACACACACACACACACACACACACACACACACACACACACGTACACACACACACACACACACGCGCGCGCGCGTACACACACACACACGTACGTACGTAAACACCAGGGAGGGAGAAGAGCTATTTAAGCTAAAGGACAATGTTGGCACAAAAACATATGGGCATAAACTGGCTATGAATAAATTTAGGCTGGAAATTAGAAGAATTTTTCTAACCATCAGCGGAGTGAGGTTCTGGATCAACCTTCCAATTGCAGTAATGGAGGCAAACAACTTAACTAATTTTGATAGAGCTTGATAAATTTATGAATGGGATTGTATGACATGGGTTGCCTGTGGCAATATAGGACTGGACTTGACGATCCAGAAGGTCCCTTCCAGTCCTATGTACCAGTGATTTCAGGTCCCAGGTTTGAGTTTTTTAGGCCTGGGGGTTAGAAAAGCCTTATTTTTTACTTGAAAATAGGAAGTTTAAATGTGGAAATAACTGAAACACAACAAACAGGAACAGGTTTCAGAGTGGTAGCCATGTTAGTCTGTATCAGCAAAAACAATGAGGAGTCCTTGGGGCACCTTAGAGATTAACAAATTTATTTGGGCATAAGCTTTCGTGGGCTAGAACCCACTTCATCAGATGCATGGAGTGGAAAATACAGGAGCAGGGAATCAAACAGGGAATTTCCACAATGCTATTTATGTGTGAGAGAACTTTCAAAGTAGAAATGTACTTTGAAGTTTTACTAAGCTAAACACAGGCATAAAACAAAACAAACAAAAAACCAGTCCACTGTTACAAGGCATAAAACAATAAATAGAAGTAGCTGTGAAATACAGCATGTCAAAACTCTCAGCTAGCAGGGAAACTCAACCTACTTCACCACAGTCTAAAAAGGCACCTAATCCAATGATATATGCTTCAATTTTGACAGGCCCCTAATGATTGCTAAATCAGGAACCAGCAGTAGAGAGGAAGTTCATGTAAGAACAGATGTTTGACTAGGTGGTGCTGAGGGACACCACTTTCTCATAGTAATCTGGTGGTTCTTTATCAAACAGGCAGGGGAGGAGAGGCAGGAAACCAAAAGGACAGTCAGCAGTTGGCAGGACATTGGGCTGCTTTTGAGAGATTGGGGAGAAGATTAAATTTTCTGGAGGACAAGCAATTCTCTATGTTCTAAGAGTTAAACTGTACTCTCCCATTCCCTTTCAAAAATACAATATTGAATCTTAAGCTTCAGTATCTTTCTTCCAGTTCCCAGCCAGAAGAGATGAATTTAACAGATGGTGTTAAATTTTAAAATAATGGCAATTTGCAAATAAACACACTGTATTTATCATTTGTTACATACCCCATTCTCTGTACGTTTCTCCACAGGTATATTTATTCCATTTCTCTGATTTTGGGTCTGACGCCCACCTAGAAATAAAGTATCAATCTTATTAGCAAGGGGGTTTTTTTTGGTTTGTTTTTAATTCAGAAGGTTTTCACTGTAAAACAACAACTATATCTGTACAAATTACTATCACTCTTTAACAAATCAGCTTTTTGTAAGTTTAATTTCCTTCCTTACAAACTATAATAACTACATTATATTTGTCATTTGGTAAAAAAAATCAAAAGCAATTAAAAAATTGATATATTAAGGGTTTTTCTTCTTTTGGGAGGCGAGGGAGCAGGTGTTTTTGTTTTTAATACAATGGGTAGTTAATCAAGTTTACTTGAAGCTCAGCCAAACAGCACTGAGCTTTTTTCACACCAATACTGAAGTGATTTGTAAAATTAAGAGTTACTTAAAATATTCTTTCTAATCCTCTACAAACCAGCCCATATATATCACTATTTATTACAGTATCACGTTTTTTTGTTTTGTTTTGTCTTTTTACAATAAGATTCCAATGCCGTTAAAAAGAGGCTACACACGAACTATTTGACAAGACAGGTTTATCAAAAGAATAGATTGACTGCTTTAGTTGTTGCCAATATTCATTTTAACACGGAACTATTCCTCTTGGTTGTGAGCACATAAAGTTTCCTTTCACTGGAATGTCAATTCTGCCAATTCCTACTATATGAATCCAAACCTTTGGCATTAGATTACTCTTTGTAGGTGGCAGAATCAGCAAAAGTAGAAAATGTTGACTTCATGGCCCGACTGTATTAAGATCTGTAATGTGCGGCTCTGTGTTTTTCTGCCTCAAACAAGTTTTGTTGCCACAAACATCCAAGAAATAGTGTTATAGTACTTAAGTCAGTGAACTGAGCATCATGTTGTCACAGTTTGACTGCTAAAGCCTCATATTTCTGTGTCCACATGAAACAGTAGTTCTGGCTGAGTACATTGCAAATGTATATATTATAGGCCGTTTCCCAGATGCCTTGCAAAGTTCTTTAATATAAAGCTTGATTAATCTTACCATGGTTGATTTAGAAGACTTGCATGCCTGATTTAGAAAGGGCAAGCATGTTTTCCATGTATGTAAAACTCCAGGCCATGTTTAAAACATATTTAATACATATACATTTATAGTGCACTTTAAATCACAGAGGATGGTTAAGCACTTTACAGTGTATACAAATCAGTATGTACTGACATCCCTTCATGCACTACTGGACTTCACCTACTGTCAAAAATCAACAAGCCTTTCTGCACCACTATATTCTACAGCTTTCAAGAGAGGTAGTGGGGAATCCCTTATTCCACTGAAACTATAGAAATAATTTTGGTGGACAGGGTAACTATGTCTGTTGGAACTTGGCTATGGCATCAATAGAATAGAAACATTGATTTAATTTCTATGACCACAAATGGTCAGTACCTCAATTTTAAGTCTGATCATGACTCAAATATATGTAGAGCAATATCCCTTAGTACATAAGGTAAAAGTTAATGTAGGGACTAAACCTGGGCCACTTTTAGTAATCTAAACCATCATCTATGCTTCAGGTTCCTCCCCACTGTTGTAAAACTAATGAGCCAAAAAATACTACTTTTAGAAAAATTTACATGTGGAACAACCAAAAAAGGTTCAAAGGGAGAATTAATTAAAGCAATCAAGACTAAGCTGAGACGTAAGAAAAAGTTACCCTTTAGAGATGGTCAAATTAACTGAATTGAGTCAAAACAGCCTGAACATACCAACAGGCATCTCAATTGGTGATTCCTTCATAGCCTTCAGACAGATTAATTGACCATGACACAGTGAGTACATATACAAGTATAATCTCAAAGTTTTCTTGTAAATTAACTATGATCTATCTCTGTTTGATCAGAGAAAATAGATTCTATTACCTACACCAATCCCTTAAGGTTCTTCTGATTTAATACTACACTCTTCGATAGAAAGCTTCTTTCTAAAAGTCAAGTAGACGATAGAGTTTTCTTGACAGAAATTGCTACTCCATTTTTGTTTTAAATATAGCTACATGAAGTAGTAGAGGAGTCTGTCAGGGATATTTTGCAAAATAGATTTTAATCTCTCTCTCTCGGATCAAAGTCATTTGCTTGGAGAAGCACAGTGCCCTCTTTCAGGGAAGTAAAATAAGGGACCTTGCCTTTAATATAAAAAACTGCTTTAAGCCTTGCATACCCATCAGCATTTCTGGATCAGTATCAAAAGGAACAAAAAACGGCTTTATGAAATAAAGCAAAACATATTTTTCTGTTAAGCTGTCCTCATAAGAGGCAAGTGTAATTGTTTCTCACTTCTCCTCTGTCTTTTGATATGTGGTACTTGTGCTCTGTTAGAATGCTGAATGCCTTTTCTGTCATTACAACTAGTTCTGGAATGAAACATTTGAAACTCATTTATGTCATTTCCGGCACCAAAGCATGCAAGTTACAGGGAGGTGGGTTAGTGTCCATAACAATTCTGATCAGATTTTCTGCCAAAAGAGTGAAAAAAACTAAGGTAAATATATTTATAATAATAATAATAATAATAATTGTATTAGAACAAGCAAAAGTGAAATGCCTAGGAATCCCCTTTATCGGTTTTAATGGAGAAAATGTGATTTCAGCAGCTAACCTGTAACCGTACAGTAAAAAAGAACAAGAAAGTGAGAAATTTGTGCAAGATACAATGATGTAGAAAAGGCAGGAGAACAGAAGTTAATGGTCTCAGGGATTACTGGAAGAAGTGTACTTCTCCAGCTAGGTTGCTACTGTAGAAGTGTGAATCGTTAAGTGAAGCAAAACAAAGAGCCTAAGCGGAGGCAGCTGGTCACTAGGAGCCGGTACACCTGAGCCTGATCAATCATTCCACAGCTATCAGCCACACTAGGTACTATAGTGTGTAGCTGATATTGCAAGTTGCAGTGCTGCCTGTTGCCACTAATAGACACCTGTTCCGCTCTTGGAAGCTCCAGCAGCCATTGGTGCAGCACCCCCTGGCTTGAAGTGGTTTCCATCATATACAGAGTTTACAGTTTGGTTCACTGGCACCCCCACTGTACAAATTGTTCCAGCACCCCTGCCAGTGGCTACAGGGTATCTGGCTATCACCAGGAAACTCCTGAAGGGAATAGTTCAGAGAGGGACATTCATGACTGTGGAAAGATATTTAAGGCAGGGATTCTCAAACTTTTTGATCACATGAATCACTTTCTTACAGAGTATCTTGGGGACACACCTCCCCTCCCACCACAGCTGCATAATATCCTTATGGGAACTAGAGTAATTGCTTACATGGAGAAATATTAGGAAAGTAATGAACTTTTAGGAGTCTTTGAATGTGATTTAGCAGAAAAAAGGATGCTGAATTTATATACTAAGTTTATTTTAAGCAATAATATTCCTTTTAAAGCCAAGTTAAATGCATGCTTGAATAACTGAATGTTGGCAGTTTTCTAGCTTCATTTGTTTTTGAGAGCGAATTTTAATAAAATAAAGTCACTTTCCAGTGCAATTCTGATTTTTGTTATTCTAGTTCTCCACTTTACTGCCCTTACCCCTAAATGACCTCTCTCTTGAGTTTTAGATTACCACTGTTAATAGCTGGCATAATACAAAAAAGAATTCCCAGGATATATTTTGGAATAAAATGAATAATTCTGAATTTGTGACAAACTGAAATAATACATTTAGGAAATGAACATTAATTTTAAAAGACATTTCCAATCTAACAAAGTGTTGTAAAAAGTCATCACGCTCAGTCATTGAAATTTTAAGTAGAAAAACAAAAGAATTAAAAATGTAAACAAATTCTAATCTGTGACTAATAAACTCCTACATCAGATGGAAGTGTTCAAAGTCCAGAGGCAATGAGTTTTTGTTTTTTTTAATTAGTCAGGAGTGCCAAACATAACACTTAACACATTAACAGAATAAATATATCGCAGAAGAAAAATAAATCAATGGATAGTCAATAATTCCTATACAAACGCTATTCTTATATACTGCAGGAATGGGAGGGGGAGTCTTTTTAATGTAACAGTCAATTTCATACTATGGAAAAAAGAGGACATACATTTTTTGTTGATTTCTTACATTTAGCATTAGGGGCATGTATACTAAATATGCTATTCCATACTCAAACAGCACATAAGTGAGGGGAAGTTAATATTTCCTGGTGAACACTTTCAAAGCCACGGTCAAATAAGCCTTTTGGCAACACATTTTATAAAATTATACGTGCATCAATAAAGTGTATGAAGAATTATGTATTATATTAGGCTAATACAGTGTTGTGGCAGCTATGGCGATTTCCTGCAATATCCTGAACATACTTTACTGAATTAAGTTAAATCTTCATTGTATTAAAAATGCAAATGTTTACATATTATATGGGATTATATGTCTTAGAGGAGACCTGACTAACGTAAACCCTGGTAAGTGTTATGAGCTTCAACGGACTATTTGAAACAATGCGAACTTTTAAAATGAAGTGGGTTTCCCAAGAAATCTCTAAGGGGAGGGATATGCACATGTAACACCTCAAGTTATGCAAAAATCCAGCCTTTTGAAGCTAGGGCCCTGAGGAGAAGAAACTCATTGTTTACGAATTACCTCTTCCCAGTGTGCTTGTTGTGAGCTAACAGCTGTGATGGACTTGTGATCACAGAAAACCCGCTTGGTGGGGTCTGAAGGATTGTTCACCTGCCAGAGCCTTTGTGGGTGTTGGGGTGATCTCCGGTAACCTTATCACCATGCATGTGGATTCTTTTATTGTTTTTAATATGTCTTCTCTGTAATGCTTTTACCTTAAGAAAAAATTGCTTAGAAAGAGCTATGTGGTAACTTAACTGAGGGCAATTGTGCTGTTTATAGCCTCTAAGAAGGCGGCGAAACAGGCCTGCCAAGGCAATCTGATTTGCTGGGAATTCACAGTGTAGGCATGGAACTTGCAGCCTGGAGATTCCCTTCCTCCTAATGAGGGTGACATATGTCTCTGTCCAAGAAAGGTGACGACTGGGGAGCCAGAAGCCTAAGAGTGGGTGCCCTTACTGGACCATGAGGGGGAATACAAGTACAGCTGCCCTGAACTGTGACAAATGCTAACAATTTTAATGCATTCCTGTAAATAATTCTATAAAGCAATTTGATTAGTGAGCTTTAGTTATTAAGGCAGTGAGTTTGTCAAGTTGCGTGACCTCTGTGACTTCTGCAGTGGCTGGTGCGCCTGGCCCGGGGGCAGTCCCTGTGCAAGTCACACCAGCCGCTGCAGGGGCAGTCTCGGGCCACCGCGCTTTCCCTCCTTCTCCCTCCTCAGCAGCAGCAGAGTTTGGGTGTGGGAGGGGGCGGGGGGTTGGGACACGGGACGGGGTGAGGTGGGCTCTGGGAGGCGCTTACCTGGGAGGCTCCCTGGAAGCGGCAATATCCCCCTCGCTCAGCTCCTAGGCAGAGGAGTGGCCAGGGAGCTCTGCGCTCTGCCTCCGCCCAGAGCGCCGGCTTTGCGGCTCCCATTGGCCAGGAAATGGGAGCTGCGGGGGGCAGGGGGGAGAAAGGCGGTGCCTGCAGGCGGAGGCAGCACGCAGAGCTGCCTGGCCATGCCTCCGCCTAGGAGCTGAGTGAGGGGGATGTCACTGCTTCCGGGGAGCCCCCCAGATAAGCGCCGCCCCCTCCCATGCCCCAACCCCTTGCCCCCTCCCGCACCCAAACTCTGCTGCTGCTGGGGTGTGAGGCGCAAAGCCAGGTAGGGAGCCTGCTGGCCCCGCCCCTCCTCCTCCCCAACACCAGCGGGGGTCCCAAGCCGCACGCTGCTGCCCATCTCCCCTCCAGCACCAGTTATTATCGGCGTAAGGTAAGCGTACTTACTCTGTTCATTGCTTTCAGCTGGAGATTCCTCATGCCGAAGAAAAAATTTCACTTCTTCCCTGCGGGGTCCCCACTTCTGTAGATGATCATACATCATGTGATCAAAGGGTATATGGCGTTCTGAAAGTATAGAATATTATATTTCTGAGTCCAGCAACTTCTTACAAAGTAACATTAAAAAAAAATGCTTCTAAATGTGGGTGCCTTTTTGGCACTTCAAGCAGTCATCTGACAACTTAACATGTAGAAAACTAATTCAAAATAAAAGCAGAAACAGGAAGAAAATAACTGCAACAGCATATTAACATACTATTAAAAGAACAATTAATTACATAACAATAGTGACGTAATTTTAGATAGTACAACCACCTACATAATTTCAAAGTTTATAATCCTACTATGCACGCATTTAAATTTTGCCAGGAATTCTCCATCACCTTCTGTGACATTATAAGACTAAAACATGACCATGTAGATCACTGTTGCTACCACTGTTATACAATGCAACAAATCTTGCACAAAGTATGTCATGTAAAGTGTAAGTGAAAAAGTTACGGTGTGCTGAATGTGATTATCCTATTTGTATGCATGCATCATTTTTGTATCTGAAATTATGAATTTTGGTGTATAACTATTTCAAATGTGTTTGCTCCTGGATAACACCCACAAGGTATTTGCATCCAGTCTAGCCAGCACATTGTGAAGGGAATACCTAGATTGACATCCCATCAATGAACACAACAGACCATGAAAGAAGCTTATCCACACCTGATGGACTTTCCTGAGAACATTTTAGCTAGAATATGGGTAATGACTCATTGAAGCATGCAAGGGCATGTGACTAGATCATGTGGTACTGAACTCCATCTTGTGTGCCTGTACTTTTCCAGAAACTGTGCTGAGGGCTCTGCCTGGAACAACGAGTTTCCCTCAACATAGGAGAAGCTATAAAAGGCCCTGGAAACATCTCCATTTTGCCTCTTCCCTGCTATGATCTCTGGATTATGGATTTATACTAATGGGAGCATTCTAACCAAGGGACTAAGGACCTTCCAATCATTTGGAAGCAACCAGAGACTTAACAAGCCAGCAGTTTATGCCATCACTACTTGAAACTTGATCCAAGAACTTTGCAATTATTGTATGTATTTGATTCCTTTAACCAATTTAAACTCTCACCTTTTTCTTTTCTCTTGTAAATAAACCTTTAGATATTACATATTTAAAGATTGGCAACAGCAAGATTATTGGGTAAGATCTGAGTTATATATTGACCTGGGTATATGGCTGGTCCTTTGGGATCAGAAGAAAGCTTTGATTGATAAAATTGGTTTTAAATAACCACTCATCATTAAGTCTAGTGTCTGGATGTTGAATCCAGGACTGGAAAACCTAAGGAGGCTGCATTTCTGACTTTTTGTTAGCCAGGGTGGTGAGACAGAAGTTTTGTTGCTGGGTTGGTATATCTTATGGAAGAATAACCACCAGTTTTAGGGTGTATCTGCCCTGTTTCTCAGCAGTTTGTCCTGAATTTGGTATTCTCAGTTGTGACCCACTGAGGCACGGTGACATTTAAATTTTGCCAGGAATTATCCCTCACCTACACCCTTTTCAGATAGTTAAACCTTTCAACTCTGCTCTCCTTTGCCAATTGGGTTTTCTGTGCCTGTTATGAAAGCATCACACTCAGTCTGAACCATAAGACTTCCAATGAAGTCCACCAGACTAAAGTCATGTATAATACACAAGTATAATGATAATTCACCCCTAAGAATTTAGTTATGTGCTACCACTCTAAGACAGTAGATTACACAATAGTCACTAATACAGCAGAAACTGGTACAAGATGGCAGTAATCAACAAAACCAGGAGTAAAATCAAGACTAAATTTTCTGCAGTATTACAATTAAATCTCTCTCTCTCTCTCACACACACACACACACACACACACAATTTCTCAAAATTTGTAACAAGGTGTTTATTTCAGAAATAAACTTACTAGCAGAAGAATAAGCAACATATAATTAATCTTGCAAAAAGTTTAATGTTATTTCCAAATTTCTAAAAATCAATTAAAAAAATATTTCAGAATTATACTTATATCAGTGTTTTCATAGGTTTTCTAACTTGTGCTGTACTATTTAGAGTGCAATTTTTCTACTAATAGGCAGGAATATAAGATAAATTAAGAAAGAAGTATCTCATACTCCATTCAAGTCATCAGAAAAGGCACTATTTTAAAACCCAATTTTAAGATACAATTTATTTATTAAACAAAAACAAACAAACAAACAAATCAGGTAAATCAAAATAAGAGGTGTCTAACAGTGAGAAGTTTACCAGTATAATCTTATACCAATATAATGCTATAAATTTAAGCTGATAAACTTCCCTATGTAGACTAGCCCTACTTTTTTTTTAGTTAATATTTGGTTTTTAACTTTTATTTTACTGACAAGAAATGTTTCAGTAATTTCCAATGAAGAGCGGTAACTTCACTCTTCCCCGAGGAATGGTGTCCTCCATCCCCTTCCCTACTTCTTCAGCCTAGTACTCAGACCACTCCCAAAGGCCATCTGCAGTCTCATGCAGCAGCCAGGATGTGATGGGTCTTGTGAGAACATTAGCCTGATGAAACGGGATTCAGGTTATTTTCATTTTAGTGTTTTGTCTGGACACTTCCTGGCAATGAAGAGAAAAATAAATTAAACCACATTTACCTAATAGGTAAATGTGATGAATATTTTATCAAAAGATCATCTTCAAAGTCTAATGTCTTTCTTGTTGTCTTCAAAGCAGTAGGAGTCTGAGTGTTTTCTTTTTAAACTTTTTAAACTTCCCTCCATTGAAAGTAAAAAGGAACTTCAATCTCAGAGAAAAGGTTATCCATGAAAGGTTTCTTAAATAATTTAATATCTTCGGGTATTTACTCATACAATCTGAAATAAGCACACTCAAAGTTTAGTTTAAAATACTCAAACCTGAATAATTCAGATCAATAAAGACATTTTAGACAAAGTGTACAATACCTGTCTATATTTTAGTTAGTTGTGTTATTAAATGTTTGTGCTGGTTAAAGAAACTGCAGGAGATTTCTGCTCTCTCTCACCAAAAGACAAGCCAGATGTCAGGAAGATAGCCCTCTTTGGCCATAATCCCATGTTTATTATCCCTAAACGTGTCTTATCTAGACCGGACACCTCTCCCAGTATAAATACCAGTTTGGTACAAATGTAATCCTTATCTCAAGAAAACAAACCATGTAAAGCATTAGGAAAGGACTTAATTGTGAAAAGGAATGTGGGGTTGTATTTTCAGAGCAATAAATCTAGGTGTTAATTGGTTTTTTTCACTCTTCCACGAAAAACTTCTAAGTAAATCCACACAAACAATTTTCGAAATATCCTAGGTGGAATGAATTTTATTACTCTAGAAATACCTGCTTCTGTCCTTAAAAGCTTCTAGGAAAAAACTAAGTAGTTGGAAATGTTTCAAACTTTGTTTATTTCTTAAGCATTGAAGAGTCCATTAATAAATATTATTAAATTTCAATCTAGCAGAGAAAGGTGTAAAACGATCCAATGGCTGGAAGTTGAAAGTGGACAAATTCAGACTGGAAATAAGGTGTAAATTAACAGTGAGAGTAATTAGTAAGGCTGTGTGTCTGTCACAGAGGTCATAGAAGTAATGGATTCCGTGACCTCCGTGACTTCCGCAGTGGCTGGTGCTGGCTCAGGGGCTGCTCGAGCTGGGCAGCCCCTAGGACAGCAGCAGCAGTTTGGGTGTGTGGGAGGGGGCTCAGGGCTGGGGCAGCGGGTTGGGTGCAGGGCAGCGCTTACCTGGGGGGGGGGGGGGTGCTCTCCCTGGCTCCCACCAGCATGTCCCTGCAGCTCCTATGCGGAGGGTCCACAAGGCTCCACGTGCTGCCCACAGCCGCCGCCCCCTTTGGCTATGGTTCCTGGCCAACGGGAGCTGCAAAGCCGGCACTTGTGGTGGGAGCAGCGCATGGACCCCCCGGCCACCCCTCTGAAAATGGACTGAATAAAAGAAAGAGTTAAAACTCTAACTTTAAAGATGTTCTGAGAATCTCCTGCCATAAGTACAAAGACAAGTAGAAATTTTGTATATCCATTAAAGAGACTGCCTATTCAGAAACTGAAGGTAACAACTAAGCCAACCCCCCAAGGCATGGAGTCAATGAAAGAGAGTGATAGCAAAGAACTTCTATCCACATAACACTGACAGATGCCTGTTTTCCTATAATTGAATGAAAGTAGGAGGAAAAGTATAAAAAACTGACATGAACGCCCCTCACACACTCACCCCTCTGCTACTCTGCTTCAACAACAAGGAGTCCACAACTCATCCTGTCCATCTGTACAAATAAACTATCATAGACAGTTAAGAAAAACACAAAAGACTCAAAGTAACCAACACAAGGAAAACCTCCCCAAGACTTCAATATGGATTGGTGAGAGAAAGTTAACTAAGACCCTGCCAAGGGATTAGATTTACAAACTCTTGTAATGATTTTACTGGAATATTGAAATGCAACTGTAACTTAAAATATTAACAGCTTGTCCTGTTGATCATCGGATGGTTAGACCATATACTCCTGAAGAGGCGACAGGGACTAAACAGTGGTAAACACAGAAATAGTGGGATTTCACTGGATTTAAGATTCTTAATATTGGTTCATTAGCCTGTCTCAAGACAGCTCCTTAAATGGCTCCTTCTAAGTAACTGATTTAAATAGTTTATTCGATTTCATAGGATTTAGTTACAATTATCGGTTTTTCCCAATTTACAAACTAGCTTATTATTATTAACAACAAGACAGGTTTCACCTACCCTAAAACAAATTATTTTGCCCATACATAAAGGTTTTAAGTATCTAATAAGATTGAGACTGAATTCACAATATTTTGGGAAACTATATATTTTGGACTTAATTTCCCAAACCAAGAACATCCCCACATGTAGTCTACTCTCAAAGGTGTAATCACTGTTAAGACTCTACACATAGAGGCAGTCAGAAGAGATTGTAATGGAAATAACCAGTTTATCAGTTGTGTTCTATCATTTGTGTTTTGTTTAATGATTTCTTGTCTTTAATAATA